TGTATTTCATTAAAAGCCTTTAGTTTACAGCGTCTATGGTCCATAAGTTCTCTAAGACCATCAGAGTTTTTGGTACTCGTTTCTTCTGAGACATCCTCGTAGTGTGGTTCTGTTTTGTAGGAGTTTCGCCGGATTCCATATATATTCGCTATATATATAGTTGCCTCAGCTAGCCTCTTTTCTTTAAGAAACTTGAGCAACTTGTTTTTGTCCGCAGGACTTGGAGATCTACTTGTGTAGATTTTAACAAGCATGCTCTTTCCGTCGTATGTCTTTTCAAGATTTTCCGTCAGATTTTTTCCAAAATGCTCTTTGTATTGCATCTTCTCAGCCTGGTCTCTATTTACACGATAAACCAGATGTGAGATGTCAGAGGTCTCCTGAGATGAAGAATGGACGTCTTTCAAGCCCATGTAAAACATGCAGTCATATACGTCTGTAAAAAGAAATTTAAATATTTCACAAAGTCACAAAAGAGATTTGACAAATCTACTGATACCTTATACCATTCTCACAATATTACATGTAGTAAAATCCATGCATTTGTAGGTAATGTAAATAAAAGAAAATGCAAATGAATTGGAAGAACTCATTTAGAAAAGAGACAAGTTCTCTTCTTATCTTGTATTTTACATTATAGTAGGTTTAAAATCAAGGTGAAATTCCAACTTAAAAACATGTCTTTATCAATTTCGTATCCCTAAAATTGTGCACAAGTATTGTCTACGTTGTCGACATGTTATTTTTGTCCCTTTTATATCCAGCGTTCATGATTCGCAATATCTATAATTCGCTTAAAGATAACTGATTAACTTAAGCATTGAATTCATATTTTTGGATGTTTTCGGTCCTATAATATACCTGGCCGTGCCGACAAATTGAATACCGCGCGGTAGCGCGGTATGATAATTCGTCGGCACGGCCAGCTGTGTTATAGGACCGAAGACATCCCAAAATATGAATTCAGTGCTTATATATACATTCTCTAATTTTTCCTCTTCGTAATTGTTTGTTTTGATAATCTAAATGTGAATTTAGCGCCCTTCAAAACTGGTGTGCTTATTAGAAAAAAGACTCGTTTATGACGTTGCAAACTTAAATAAAGCAAACGAGCATTGCGTGGAAAAAAGTTACAAATTAATTTTAAACTTTCATTTGTTGTATTTTTTCGTTAATTTAACACAGTTTTTTTTATGAAATTGCGTCAAATCAATGTACATTTTGGTGTTCCTAGAGTATTGATAATGCATATAGTTCCTACAGTGTATTCTTACGCACGGTGACAAGGTTTCGCGTGTTTTATAGAGATTTGAACGTGGGGGATTTCTAATGGATTTCATAAAGAAAATAACACTGAATGTAAAAATAATATGTTAGTTGCTTGTAAATCTATATTCAATGAATTCATATCAGCAACATTTTAAAGCTACTGCCGAACTACTCTACTATAGAAAGTGACAAACATTTAGAGATCTAAATAAACTTACGATGGCAAAATATGTGCTCAAGATCTTGGTTTAAAAGTTCATCTTCTTTTTTTCTACTTCTGTCGTCATCTGCCTGTTCCTTTTCGTACATTTCATCAAAGTTGGTAATTTCATCTCGGAGATTTAGCATGTCTATCAAGTGTGTCCACGTTTCTTTTCTAAAGGCTTTAACTTCGCAACGACGATGTTCCATAAGTTTGCATAAGGCCTTCGCATTCTCCTCACTCTGGCTTTTATTCACTCTAGATATATGACTTTCCTGATTTTTACTGCATGACTGTCTTATTACATTATACAGATTTGCCACATAAAAAATAAGATTGTAATTTTTGTTTTCATTCAAAAATTCTAGCAATGTTTCTGAACATCGGGAACATGGGGAATTATTACTGTATACATGTACCACCACATGCTCGTCATGCTTACGAATCAAGTCTTTTGTACTTGCTTCTCTTTCACAAAGACGATTTATCAAAATCACTTCAGTATGATCACCCCGATTTTCATTTTGAACTCTTTCTGGCCTTTCATTATTAAGGGAGAAAAACAGGAAAAAGTCTGACTAAATACCATTTTCCATAGGAATACTTGTGATTTAATACCGTATTGAACATGTGATGAAATGCTCCTAAATTTTCTGCAAAGATAAAGAACATATGAATTAACACATTTTATGTGAATAGTATTAATGAAATATATTTTCATAAAAATGTAAAATTAAATTGAATCTTTCGCAGTATTAGGAGAAAAAAAAAATCATTTACCCCCCCCCCCATGGAGGAATTACAAAAAGTTATCCGAGTTTACGTATACATGTATGTAGATTTCATATTCTCCGAACTCTTAAAACTAAAAAAAAAAAAAAAAAAAAAATTCTTGGTAATTTAGTCGCCCGCGTGGCGCAGTGGTTCAGCGTCTGCTCCAGAATCACGAAGTAACGAATCGATCCTTACGTTGCGGGTTCAAATCCAACAGTGGGACGTGGAGACTGATCCTTCGGATGAGACCGTATTAACCGATATCCCTTGTCGTAGTAGGTTCTGGCAGGAAAAAGATCCCTTCCTGCTCAAGGGTACTAAGTGTCGAGTATAAGACAAAATTTGCAACTCTCCACCTGCAAGTGGTGGCGTCTCCATATGAGTGAAAAACCTCGAGAGGGACGTTAAGCAATATCCAATAAATCTATCAATCTTTGTAATCTATGCATGTTCATAATCCCCTCTCATAGAATTTTAAAAAATATACAGAGATCAATATCTTAATGTTGTCGTCATTATTGAAAATAAAGCTACACCTGTAAATGGTTTATTGATTTATTGAATGGATGTTAACGTTCCGCTCTATAGACTTTTGTCCTATGCTCGGCATTCTGGGCCACTGAGCAGTGAGGGATCTTTTTCGAGCTAGCACCTACTGCGACACAGGACCTCGGTTTATACGTTCTCGTGCCAGTACCTCCTACCTCCTCGGTTAATACGGTCTCATTCGAAGGACCGGTATCCACGTCCCAAAGTGGGATTCGAGCACGCAACGTGAGAATTGACTCCTTACTTGGTGACCCTAGAGCAGACACTCTAACCACTGCGCCACTCGGGCGACGTTAATTCTGAGAGAAACAACACTCTTAATAAGATATTCCTAAATTGCATATTGATTCACCTGAATTTTCAGATGTGTCGCTGTCTGAAAAAAACGATAAATTATGTCGATTTCTTAAGTCATTCGTGGTTAAATTTATTAAAGAATGTTAGTGTGGGTGTCATATGCGAACTATTCTAATCACTAAAGGAATTGAGGTTATGAAGATACAATTAAATAATGCTTATAACGAATATGCTTATAACAAATTGTCCCTTAAAACGAAGTAATTTTTATTCCCGATGATTATACATTAACGTTTTGTTAACTTATTCTAGATAATGAATTACGCTTTTAATAAAGTAAAATCCTCCGTTCCTCGCACTTCATTAAAAGCGGGTACATGTATTACTTTATTACTTAATTAAAGTAAAAATAATTAGATTGCATTTTTTTTTTTTGTTTCAATTAAAAAAAAAATCACCCAAGTGTGATCGTCCCGATATTCATTTTGAACTTTATCTGGATTTTCACAATTAATAGAGTAAAGCAGGGTAATTCAAAATGCCATTTTCCCTTTGAATTACTATGATTTGAAACCGATTTGAACATTTGAAATGCTTGTAAGTTTTCTGGTAAAAATAAAGAGCATATAAATAGAAAAAATATATATGAATATTAATGAAATTTCTTTTCATTGAAATTTTATTAAATCAAATCCTTAGCACTATCAGGAGAAATAAATCATTAATTCCTAACAAAAAATGGAGGGATTACAATAAGCTATAATCGTAAATTATACCTTCTGTAAATCTTAAAATTTATTAAACTTCTTTGCAATTTATGCATGTTCGTGATTCAAATTTATAATATTGAAATAAGATACAGAAATTATTTAATTTCTATAAAATACTTCATTCTGATTAGATAAAAAAAATTGTTTTGATAATTGCATCAATAAAATCTTAAGTTCACTTGCACTAAGCAGCGGGAACTACTTTGGCTGTCTTTACGTGTATATTTCCCGCTTCCAGATGGAAGAATTAAATAGTTTTACTTTTATAGATATTTTCCTGAATTTTGAAACCTGTCCGTGAGTTACGTTCCTGACTTATTTTCTACTTTCGTTTCTTTTTTAATAATCCTCCTTTGCTCAACAAACTGAATCGTCTGCATGACACTCATACAGTTATGGGACGGCTCATTGAAGGAGATGTATAGAAAAAAAAACATAGAAGTATAATTAATTTATGATTTTTTTTCAATATAAGTTACTACATCATTTCTAACTGATATTTTCAATTTGGGATACATATCAATGTTGCATTGCTTTAAAATAATTTTTGTTAATTTTAGAATAATTGATTGATTGTATGTTTTTTATCGCCCCCTAGAGAATTTTTTACTCATATGGAGACGCCACCACTTGCCGTTGGAGAGCTAGAAATTTTGTCCTATACTCGGCACTCAGGGCAATTGAGCAAGGGAATCTTTTTCGTGTCAGTACCTACTGCAAAACGGGGCCTCGGGTTGTAAAGTCTCATCCGAAGGACCGGTATCCACTTCCCACAATTGGATTCGAACACGCGGCGTAAGGATTGACTCCATACTTGGCGACTCTAGAGCACACGCTCTAACCACTGCGAAACGCGGGCGAAATTAATTTCGAGAGAAATCTTAAGATATTCTTAAATTCCAAAGTGATTTACCTGAGTTTTCAGATGTCTCCTTGTCTGAAAAAAAATAAAATCGATTAGTATGTTGATTTTTTTAAGTCAGCCTTGGTAAAATTTATTAAAACATTGTTAGTGTGTGTGTCACATGCGAAATATTCTAATCAGTTAATTGCAATAACCTATATATGTAGATTTTACATTCTGTAAATCTTAAAACTTATCTAACTTCTTTGCAATGTAAGCATGTTCTTGATTCCCTTTCATGATATTTAAATAAGATACGTTAATCATTTAATTTCTTTAAAATACTTCATTCTGGTTCGATAAAAAAATTGTTTTGATAACTGCATCAATAAAATCTTAAGTTCACTTGCACTAAGCAGCGGGAACTACTTTGGCTGTCCTTACGTGTATATTTCTTGCTTCCGTATGGAAGAATTAAATAGTTTTACTTTTATAGATATTTTCCTGAATTTTGAAACCTGTCCGTAAGTTACGTTCCTGACTTGTCTCCTACTTTCGTTTCTTTTTTAATAATCCTCCTTTGCTCAACAAACTGAATAGTCTGCATGACACTCATACAGTTATGGGACGGCTCATTGTAGGTGATGTATATAAAAAAAACATAGAAGTATAATTAATTTATGATTTTTTTTTTAATAAAAGTTACTACATATATGTAAAAAATGAAATGCAATCATGTATCATTTCTAACTGATATTTTCAATTTGGGATACATATCAATGTTGCATTGCTTTAAAATAATTTTTGTTAATTTTAGAATAATTGATTGATTGTATGTTTTTTATCGCCCCCTAGAGAATTTTTTACTCATATGGAGACGCCACCACTTGCCGTTGGAGAGCTAGAAATTTTGTCCTATACTCGGCACTCAGGGCCATTGAGCAGTGAGGGATTTTTTCGTGTCAGTACCTACTGCAAAACGGGGCCTCGGGTTGTACAGTCTCATCCGAAGGACCAGTATCCACGTCCCACAGTTGGATTCAAATAGTCGAGATGTCTCGTGCGACTTGACGTTTGAAGTGGCTTATCAATTTTTTAAATGTTTTTATGGTACAACTGCGCTCGCCCCAACGGTCACACCGTAAAACATATTAATGATATATTCTGCAGATATTAACGGTTTTCGTGTGTAAGATTTAGGCCTAGTGACAATCCTCGTTTAAGAGTTACCTGGTTATGTTTACAAAAACTTTTTTTCGAATATCATATTCAGTTAAAATTCTTTTTGAATTATAATTGGTAACAAAATAATTGTCATTTTACAATGAATAGTAATCTTTAATTTGTTATATGCTTGCGTTAAATTTAAATTTTGTAAAAATAATTGATCATCAAAGTCTGTTAGTGTATGGAGTGTATGTATAGTTTCCTGTTAGTTGGCCGGGTACGGTGGACACATAATTAAGGTCTATTGTTTAACCAGTCGGTACTGTACACTGTTAATCTTACCCTGTTTCCCAATGTGTGTAAATCTGGTCGGATGTCATGTTTAATCTGATCGGCTGTTCTTCTTTAAAAAAAATTGAAATAACAATGATTGAAGACCGACTAGATTTTGACAGATACTTACCGCTGCATTATATAAGAAAAAATAACGAATTAATTCAAATTATTCATCCTGTAAAAGTCAAACTTTGAAAACTAAACATTTTTTATACCTGCGGCCCCAGCCCGCAGCCCCCCCCCCCCCAAAAAAAAATTCTTTTTTGTTATGAGAACATGTCTTTATATTCCTGGAAATTATGTAGCGGAATATTATGTAGCGTAATATGTTTTTTTTAACACATGAAATAAAAATACCATTTTCTCTCTCTCTTTTAAAGTAATATTTATGTCTGCTTGCCTTACCGTCCACATCAAAAAGAACACAACTCCTCTTAAAAGAATAAAAAAGGTCATTTATTATGTTCCCCAAACGAAGTTGGGGAACAT